CTTCGGAGGCAACGCCTCCAGGGGCGAGGGCGCCGCTGGCTCAGTCCCGAAGTCAAGCAGCGCGCCCACGGGCACCTCCGGGGCCTCCATGGTTTGGGGGGGATTCCAGGCGGACCGCGTTCCCGGGGACGTCAGTGGGAGCTCGAGGCCACGCCCACGAGCTGCTCGGGCGCTGCTGGCCACCAGGCGTCCTCTGGGGCGGCTCTCGCGCCCTAAGGCATCTAGAAGGGAAGGCACATCAGCGTTACCGCTACGCCCGCGTAAGGGGAACGCAGCTCTGAGACTCCAGACTCCACCGAACCAGCGAGGCCCCAAGATTCCCTGGATAGGGAACAGGCTCCAGACGTCCAGAATTCGGGACGTCTCTATATGGACATCATTTCGTCACCATCTACTTTGCTGCTACACGCCTGGCACGTGGTAGGCACTCGGTAACTCTTTGTCGAATAAACGCACGAATAAACACCAACGATCGGGATTCCTCCAAGCCCAACAGACTTCCGAGGCACCGGGCCTGCTGGCCCTCCCCCTGCTCTGGGCCGCCAGAGTGATGCCACTAAACAAAAAGGCTGACCCCGGGCCAGAATCAGAACATCACCAAGGACACACGGGCCCGCTCCCTGCCGTTGGAGTCAGCGGCCATGGGAGATGGTGTCGCCCAGCTCGGCGGGAAAAGCCGCCTCTGCTAAGCACGTGGGGCCCCTCGGCTGCCGGCCTGGCGTCTCTTCCCTCCCGGGCTCCTTTCTGAGGAGTCTTCCGCTCCAGACCCAGAACCTCCGCAGGCCGCCACACAGACGTCCCTTCTCGCGTCCCTCGCACCACCTCCGATGACTTCTGAGTATCATGTGCTGCCCCCTCCCTGCACACAGCGGGCTGGGGGACGGCGTGCATCTGTGGCGCCCGTTCCTTCTGCCGCTCCCCCTTCCCGCTCCGTGCCTTCTTCCCGCCTCCCCCTGCCCGGATGCCGTCCATCGCCCCGGGCTGACACAGCCCCACCTCTCCCGAGCAGCTCACGCCACCCCTGTTCAAAAGTATTCAGCGATTCCTCTGCGCCCCTCCGTATTTTATTTGCACCCGTTTGCAATTCCGTTAGCTTCACGGGTAGATATTAGCATTTCTGCTTATCCCTCTGGAGTAAGAGCCCCTGGAGCACCTGTGTAGCGATCCAGCCTCCAGCACGGTCTCGACTAAGGGAGTGTTGGCCGCACGTCTGTGAATGGGTGGACACAGCTGCCCGTGAATGTGCTCGAAGGGCCGGGAGGGTCCACGATGGGACCGGAACCTTCGCACCTAAACGGGGTCTCCTGGCTGCCAGCTGGGGAGTCACCCTCCGGTCCTGCGACCCTCCCTCCTGGGTGAGGAGCGGCAGACAGCTCAGCAGGAAGCGAGATCTCGCCCTCCTGCCAGGTCAGCTCCCCCAGACAAGAGCGACCTCAAGACTGGACACGTCCTTCTCCTCACCCTCGGCAGACCCCAAGCATCTAGCCGACAGGTGGCCAGCGACACGGCCGCAATGCGTCTCCTGAGTGTAATTCAATATCAGAACCGCCTTTGCTGCCTGTTAAGAGCTTGATGCTCACAAATCGATCACGGGCTCCTCCGAATTCCCCAGCCCAGGATATTTTTAAATGCCCTGAGTCAGGGAGATGGAACGCTGGCTCCTTGCTCTTGGAGTAACAACGACACATCTTCGGTAGAGTCCTACGAAGCTTGCGCTGGCCCAAAAAAGAGAAGCGAACATCTCCACTTAAAAGAACTTTCTGGGCCAGGGGAGAGCAACGTGGGGTTTTTAGGGGTTCAGGAGACAGCGCTACCACTCAGAGAGGCAGAGACTGAGGAGTGATGGTCTGGAGCTGGGGGCGGCCCTGACTCCCCTCCCACCACCTGTGCCCACGGGCTCTGCTCTCTGGGCCGGGGTCTCCCCGACTGAGACACTGTGGTCTAGCTTGAATTCTTTTTTTTTTTAAGTGGGCTTCATGTCCGACATAGAGCCCCAAATGGGGCTCAAACTCATGACCCTGAGATCAAGACCTGAGCTGAGATCAAGAGTCAAGATGCTTAACCAACAGAGCCCCCCCCCCAGGTGCCCCAGTCAGGCTTGAATTCTAAGATCCTTCTGGCCACGACCTCCTCAGATTCTCCAAAGCACAGAAGACCACCCCTGTAACAACACACTGGATGTTAAAAATGGAAAAATCACACACTGGCAAAATGTGTGCAGTCAGGATGACAGAATTGGGTCAGTAATATCTGTATCAGAAATCCACCCACCCCAACCCGACCAAAAACTCTGTATTCGAGTAGATACACAAACTATTCAAATAGGCAAGTCACAAAGGAGAAATACTATTGCTAAATGCTTAGGCCGTTCTTCAGCCAACACTAATAACCACACAGGCAGATAAGCAAATTAAAACAATTAGGTGCCATTAGGTACTAAGTTAGCAGAAACTTTAAAATGCAATCTAAACGCTGATGAGGATACGGTCAAGTTAATACCCTCAAGTAACCCTGACAATAGGGAAAAATAAGGCTCTAGAAACTATTTTCATTTATGTATTTATTTATTTGTCTGTTGGTTGGGTTATGTAATCTCCGCACGCACCGTGGGGCTCAAACTCATGACCCCAAGATCAAGAGTGCTGTGTTCTTTCGACTCAGCCAGCCAGGTACCCCCGGAAAGTATTTTCTATAGCTCTTACTTTTCTATTCTCTGATCCAAGAATTCAAATGCTAGGAATGTATCCTAAGAAAATAATTCAACTCAAAGCTAGTTACGTGGAGAAAAATGCTCCCTGTAATAGCAGTATTTCTTTTTTTATTTTATGTTGATTGTTGAGAGACAGAGAGAAAGAGACAGAGCTCGAAGAGGGGAGGGGGAGAGAAAGGGGGGGAGGCACAGGATCCGAAGCACGTTCTAGGCTCTGAGCTGTCCGCACAGAGCCCGATGCAGGGCTCGAACCCGTGAACCGTGAGATCATGACCTGAGCCGAAACTGGAGACTTTACTGACGGAGCTACCCAGGGACCCCAGCAACAACAGTATTTCTAATCCTGATAAATTGGGGGGGGG